ATTGTATAATTGTATCATTGTATAGTGCAACCACACTTCTAGAAAACCATGTTTGTGGTATTTTTATGGCCCAAAATTTTGCACACACTCTATTCATCGCAATAATCAATCCCCAAAAAGAAAAGAGTTCAATTTGAACCCTAGATTTGGTCAAAATGAATCCCCTTCAACAACGAATCTAGACCATTCATTTGGTGAATTTCAAGATCTTAGCCTTTACAAACTTAAAATCAATTTTTTCTTTTTTTAACATTGTTCATCTAATGATAATAAAGCTATCTAATAAAACTGGAAAAAAAAAAAAATCTTCTAAGGCCTAGATCTAAGCATCCTATCAAAATGGACGGCCTATGTTAATTGGGCTAAAAAAATACTTTCTAGGTTGTTTTTTCAATTTTTTTTTTTTGTGATTATTCATTAGAATTAAAGAGTGTATATTTTAAAGTTTGGATCAAACAAATGGCCCTAACATGGTTTTTGAAGATTATTGCAGTATATTCCTATACATCCGTTGTATGAAATCACTGCCCATATATATATTATGAACTTTAGATGTAGAATTGCCTGGAACTAGTTGTTTGGGTCTTCAATGGTTAGTGCGCATACATCTTGACACAATTACACTAGGTCTATACAACTCATGATTTAAATTAAATGTATTTCATAATGCCCTAAAGATTTGTAAATTAATGTATTTTATAAATAAATGTATTTCATAATGCGCTAAATATTTATAAATTAATGGGTCGGGCTGGGCCACATATCTTTGGCCTTTGGGCTTGGATTTCAAGCCTGGGCCTAACCTCCAAAATTGATTTTGGGGCTGGCTGGCCATGACCTGCTGGCCAGCCCATTGCGAGGCCTGAACATCATAGTGCCAAAAGTAAGAATGTGCGTGAATGTGTGCATGCATGTTTGAGTAGGTGTTTCCAATTCCATTAAGCATCATGGAATTATGAGGAGTTGGTAATCATGTCTTTCTCATGGTCTTTCTCTTTCTAACTCCTTTCTCTCTAACCTTGTCATTTCTCTCTCTAATTGCACTCTCTAACCCTTCCCTTTCTCTCTCGAACTCTACTTTGTCTAACCGTGTCCTTTCTATAAGTGTGCCCTTTCTTTCTCTAACCGTTTCTCTCTCTAACTCGTCTTTCTAATTGTGCACTTTCTCTCACTAACTGTTTGTCTCACTAGCTTCACTCTAACCATGCCCTTTTTTCTCTCTGTAACCATGCCCTTTCTCTTTAACTGTACCTCTTTTCACTCTAAATGAATAAGAGTGGGTATGGAGAGAGTAATAGAGGAGAGATAAGGGTCCCTTCAGCACAGCAATCAATGATTTTATTGGATTGTCATATCACAGATATGTCAATTCGAGCCTCTTTTTGGAATTGGCTTTTCCATGGAATGAGTGCTTTTGGGGATTTGCATATCTAGGATACAGGTGACAAAAATGATGCCAAATGTCTTTCTGGATCATATCCTGAATATGCAAATCCTAGGGTCCAAATGGGTTCTAAATGTTGTTTATTAATAGATGAGTTTAATCTGCTTTTAACTATGTACTTGCTCAGGTACCTGTTCATATTTTGGTTTATGTTTTCTTCTTGGTAAGTATTAGTACTTTATTGTTTTGCTTTATGGTAGGTTACGATATATGTGCATGTATGTAAAACTTTAAGTTTGCAACTTTATTATTTTACATAATGAACATGTCTTGATTGTAGGCATTGCTCTTTTTGGAACTTCCAGTCTTGTGGATATTCAACATCTCATAATTTCAGGAGGGAAAAGCCAAAGCAGCTAAATCCTTTACCAGATAAATCGCATTCTCGTTCATGGAGTGATTACATAGTGGTATGTTCCTTTACATTATAACACTAGAGTTATCTAAAACTTCCGCATCCAGGGCATTTTTTGTATTGCTTTTTTAATAAATGTGAAGTAAATTATTTCCTTTTTCTCAGTTGTTCGAGTGTCCTTTATTCGATGCATCCATCTCTGTAATGAAGTTTATCATGGGATTGTGGTAAGTCGGTCCATAATCGATTGCATTCCTTGCAGCCAGTGGCATTTCTAATGGTTGCTGGAGCAGGTGTAGCAATTCACTATAATGATGAGAGGAGAGCAACTCCAAAAGGTGTGTGCTCTTATGTGTTAGTTCTGGACTCTAGTGTCATATGAAAATGTTTATGCTTTGTCATTTAATCTTGGCATGGTTTGACCTACATCACTAGAATGTTTAATATTTGCATGATTATATATAACCTTTTGCAATGTAAGTTTTACACCGATCAAGGCTGAAGTTGAACAGAGTAATAAGAAAATGGGTGCCAACTACCCGAACATCGTGGAAATTCACTCTGTCCACTTCTCTAGTGGTGGGATTTGTTGTGTGATGATCATGCACAAAACATTAACCTTTTTATGTGGATACTGACACATAATTTTGCTGTCAAAGTGTCCAGCATATTTGTAGTTATTCGGATGACATGTTCTCTACTTGTTAAAATTTCAAGCTATGGATTATGGGAAAGAAAATCATGTTCCACTCACGCACCACTTGATAGTTCTGTTATGAGATATTTGTGGTGCTTTCTTCTATGTTATTGAATTTGAGGATCTGGAGTAGCATCTATATTTTGTCCATTTCACAACATGGGATGTCAATATTTTTGGAATCCAATTATCTCCATTCCTGTAAATGCATTTGTTTTTTATGGCCTCATATGTGATGTCATTTTTATATCGTTGAGAAGATTCAAGCATGTAGAAATGCTTGGGTTCTATGTATTTTGATATCTGTTACATTGTCGTGGTAGAATAATGTTTCTGTTTGTTGCCATTCAAAACATCTGAGAATTTAGGAGAACACTAGAGATATGCACTTTATCATGGAAATCACACACTACACTGACATTATGAGGCTGTCAGATTAGAACTTTTCCTTCCCTTCCATCCCCAATTCTCTTTTTCCTAATGGCCTACTGGTGTTAATTTTAAGATAACTTGCAAAGGGTGGTTGCAGCAGAGCGAGAGAGATGTGGATTCTTGATCCTTTTTCTCCGAATATTGGGCTGCAAATCAGGGTGGTCAATCTAATGCATCAGGATTTGACGGCTCTAGTCAGTCTGTCACATTCATTTCCACAAGGTCTTTCTATTTTTTAGTTTTTATTATGGAAAACCTATATATGCTATTTGTAGAACCACTTGATGAAATAGATCCGATATTAAATTTGATCTGACATTAACCTGCCTCTATGCGTTTAAATATGCACATCTATTTATTATGTATTTGCATATAACTGCATGGAAACATTTGACCCAGCTTTTGAAGAAAGATTGAAATAAAGATCACATTTTGATATGATTTTAAGTTCTATCATTGCTGCCGTATTTCTTCTTATTTTACTGATTCTAGCGAGTTCTTCAAAAGTATTTGTTGAGATGGATGGTTACTTGTTATATACTAAGTAAAGGAAAAGAACAGAATCGACATTTCCACATGCAATAATAGAAATTCCTTTGGGAGAAATATATGAGCGTTATATTCTCAAATCTTAAGGCTTCTTTGATTGTCATGGGTATATTGTCAATTAGTTCTTTGTTAATTTTGCTTTCCATCTTTTGTTATTTACAGGTGCTGGAGGTGCAGCAAAAACAATTAGCAGGCCTGCGGTCGGAGGCCCTTTTAAGCTTGTCAATACAAATAACCAAATCGTAACTGACCGTGATTTCAGAGGGAATTGGACCCTCCTATACTTTGGATACACATCATCTCCTGATGTTGATCCTATGGAAATTCAGAAGATGGTTCGGGCTATCGATGTGCTAGGTATGGACACTTTGTGTATATGTCAATGGTTTGGTTTCAAGTTCATAGTCAAATACAATGCAGTTGGATTAAACTAAAATTGGACATTAAAATCCATAAGTAACCTTCAGGGCTAGATGCTTATTTTAAAAATTTGATGGTTTTCTTAATGTTAATCTTTTCAAAAAAAAAAAAACAATTTATCGGTCTTCTTGAGGCACTTCTGAAAATCATTTTAACAGTAAATGTTAACAGTATATAAAAAAAAGAGAATCAATTTAACCAAAACATTTGAGTTATACCCAGTGGGTAGCTATGATGATATGAACTGCAATCAAAATTTTGCTTTCTGTTGAGTTGTTGCCGCTCTAGTAGGGAAATGGATCAGACACCTATAGAATGGGAAGATCAAAGATGTACATTGGTGCCATTAACTAGAAACTTATGCCTAAGAATCATGAACACTTGTATATGAATAGTAGCAATAGAATATGATGGCATTATGATGCTGGATATTCTCTTCAAATTTATAACAATAAAATGAGTGTATAAAAATATCATTATGAGCACAATAAACAACTAGTTATAATAGCACACAATTTCCACCTGGACGAATGATGGAGGTTGAAAAGCGGGTTTTGAAATTGTAGTGATGAATTTGGATTCAGGCGCGTGGCTTGGTGATTAGTGTATTGTTCACCACCACAAAGTCCAAAGTTTGAAACCAACCCAAAAAGACAAAAGGAAAGTCAAATAGATCCTTTGAGATCATTAAGATCTTGCACTTGGATGCCAGAGCTCTTTGTAGGTGCTGTTCGTTGAGGGTCTTGCTTTCTTATTTGGATATGAATTCCAATAGATAATTGGCTAGGATCTTAGCTTATGTTACTCTCAATGCTTGCTGGTATTGAGTGATCTTTGTTGAACGTGTATACTATGTTCCCATGCACTGTTCTGAAACTCAGACACTGCAAATCGGAATTGGCCAAGCTTTGGCTGAGTAAGTTGTACAACATACATTTGAAGTTTAAATATATTAGTATCTTGGTTTTCTTTTAGATATTTGAATGGTTTAGCGGTTAGCATTAACGAATAAATTTTTACCCCGTTGGGGTTTCGAATCCCACAAGAGTTATCGGTCACACATTTTTATAGACATCGTTTTGCAATGAGTTCAGTTCCAAAAAAAAGGTTTACCTCAGGGAGGATGGCACGTGAGACCTCCTGAAAAGAGGTCCTTTTATGTAAGGCGCACTAACCAGCATGCCAACCACTTAGTTGTGATAATAATAGTATTCATATTATATATACCTATTATTTTTCTTCATTTTCTATAAAAAAAATGAGCTGGACTCGACGACTAACTCGGACTCATTTGAGTAAATCACCTCGGCCAGGTCCTGGGTATCTTGGCGGAGTCGATTTTTTGAACATTGTCGGCATGTGAGCATACTGTACACCTACTCCCATGGGTGAAAGACCTACTTGGGAGGATTTTTTTTTTTTTGAAATTTTGGATTCACCTAGATGATTATTATCAAAAAAGAAAAAGAAAAAGAAGACAATGGATTTTAAGTTCTTCAACATAGACCATTCGAAAATGGACTGTTTCTATTCAATCTTGAGAAACTTTTTGTTTGAGGTTAGTCGCTACGTCCAAGAGTTGCATCCCCAGAATTTGAGAAACTTTTTGTTTGAGGTTAGTCGCTACGTCCAAGAGTTGCATCCCCAGAATTTGGGGTCTTAAAATTACTTTTAAATTGGGTTTTACCCAAGGGAGTAAAGGGATAGTAATGCTCCTGCAGGACTACCGATATCTTTGGGCATCTCTGTTCACCGTTTCAGACTTCAGAGCACAGTTGCCTTGAAAATCTATAAGTCCGATTACCATAAAATTTTATTTTGTTTAGCAAGCAATAAGGAAAAACCAAGCAAAAGTGCAAATGCAAAGGCAACAGTAAAAAAAAAAAAATGGCTTAGGAAAAATAAAGAAAAACTGTGAATGCTAAATAGTTGGAGAGAGAAATTAAGCAAGGAGGATTCTCTAAATAAAGCGAATCCTTTTTTTTTTTTTATTGTTGAAACTAAAAAATCAAAAGGAAAGGTAGAGTTTGATGAAAGAGTGAGGTGCAAAGAGACAGAAATAGTAAAAGAGAGAATAGCTGCACGAGTCCTCTATGGATGTGAGCGGCTGCTTACAGCCGCGCACTGTTTTAGTTGCCTAGATGCCTCAAAATTTTTTTTTTTTCTGATTTACCAGAAAAAAAAAAAAAAGGCCCTATAACAGAGATTTAGCTTATACTTTTATTTTTTTTGGTAAGCAAAAAGATAAATTCCTAGCAACAATCTTCTATTACCGATGTACTACTTTTTTTTTTTTGGAAAACAATGTGTCTCTGAAAAACAATTTTTGGGAAAAATGATTTTTTTTTAAATAACAAAAAGGCCGAAAAGACATTGAAATGAGTTTTTTGTTTTTTTGAACATGAAAATAACTCTTTTTTAAGTTTTTTTTTTACTACAAAACGTGTTTTTGGCGTTAAAAGTTAGCTCGACTGCTCCACTGGGGGCGCCAAACTGTTTATAGCTAAATCCAAGAGTTTCCAATGGAAAGACCCTTAGTTTCAAACTAGTTAAATTATGAATATCGGTAAAGAATGTTAGGATTAGTGAAATTACAATTTGCATAAGAGAAGCTTGATCTTGGCAGATCAGTTCCTTAAGATTGTTAGCCGCTCCAACTGATTTTCTATGTCAAAAACACTTCCAAAACTATTATAAATGAATCTAAAGATAAACTGAAAATAAAGAGAAAGAAACAGAAAGAGAAACAGAAAGAACTTACTTACCTGGGTTAGTTGGCTCAGACACGCGAAACCCGGAATCGGGGCCCTTCTCAGGACTGCTAGTTGTTTACGCCATTGCCTTCTCATTCTCCTTGAAAATTGATTGAAATATTTACTAAGAAAGATTCAATTATGATATTGGGTTTTCCGGGGTTTAATGGCCAAGATTTTTGGGCATTCTGGAATTTTATTGGGGACTATTCTAGAATTACATACCATGACTTTCAAATGGTAACTCGGGTTCAGGTGAGACTTGTACTCTTGAAAAGATCTTGATCTCCTCTTCAGTTTAGATTTAAATTTGGCCCAATTGGATACAATTTGAGTGGTATATAGGCCTAGGACTTTTTTGTGTCAATTATAGGTCTCAGGGTGTCGGATTGATGTCCGGGTTGGTTTTATATGTTTATTAGGCTCACGACTGTCTAGCATGGCCATTTGGGGTATTGGGTAAGCTGGTTTTAATTCCAAAATGTTGACTAGGGCCTACTAGGCTGTTTTGGTCCCTAGGGTGTATTAGGCTGTTTTGGTCCGTTCAAAAACAGAAGAAAAGTTGCAATTTCAAAATTGGGTGTTCACAGAGGTTTGTCGCTGGGTCTATTTTGGGTCTTAAAAATGCTTCGTAATTGGGTTTTACCCAAGGGAGTAAGGGATAGTAATGCTCCTGCGGGACTACGATATCATTGGGCATTTTTGTTCACCGTTTCAGACTTCAGACCACAGTTGCCATCAAACTCTACAACTCCCATTACCATGCGAAAGGAAAAAAAAGAAGGGTCACTATTTCAGAGCATGTGTGCCATGAAATAAGTTGTCCCTGAAAATGAAAAGTAAAAAACACGGATAACATTTAGTTCTAATTAGAATGAGTTTCAAAAGAAAGAGTAACAACAGAAACATATGAAGGCTGAATCATTTACTATTCTCATTAGAATGGTTTTTTACTTCTGACCTAGGGCTCAATTAACTTAATGTAACTTTGTACATGCAAAAAGATTGAATTGTACTGGAGAGTAGTGTGGAAAGGACAAACAATGGAGCAATGGCTAGAGCACCGTCTACAATCCTACAAGGTAATAAGATTTGGAAAACCCAGATATTACTTTTTCTTGATGTGTAGAAGTGATAATTATAAGTCATCTCTTGTGCAATAACTATGCATGTCAACATTTTCTTGTCATGGAAAACAAGATTATGTTCAAATGGCACACATACTTCCTTTATTTTTTGACAAAAAATGGCACACGTATCTCACACAATGTGTGTCACTGAGCATTGTGATTCTTGTTGCTTATTTGTTTATATTGACAATCTTATTTTCGGAAGTTGTATTGGGGCATTCTGGGATTCATGACTCTATCCAATTAACAACTTTGGTAGAGAGATCTTGGTCACTTCTGGCACTCTCTCTGTAGAGCTTGAGATGGCGTACTTGCCACGAGATTCGTTCTTTACGAGTGGGCTCAAATTTTTTCTGTAAAAATTCAGTGATCCCATAGTAGTTTCATACTCTCCTTGAACTTAATTTCTAGTAGGGGTCTCAGAAGTTGCTCTGTTACATTTGTCTTTTTCTGTATGCTGCATATTATTACATGTAGCAATGGTGTGGTATTGTATTTCCTTAGTTGTTTACATCACTGTAACATACCATAGGTGCTTGTTAAGCTGACTGTTCACGTTTCATTTTACTTGGGGACAGAAAAAGAACATAATATGAAGGTAAATCTAGTTTTTATAACCCTCGATCCTGAGCGAGACTCCCCTTGGCATTTGCGAGCTTACCTCAAAGGTTAGTTGATCATCAGGTGTATTCTTGTTCCTATTCTTGTGCTTTTTTGTTGAAAGATTTTGTGTTCTTGGACTAAAAATGGTTCCAAATTTTTTTTATTTTGATATTAACAAAGTTTGCTAATCGCAGAGTTTGATCCCAAGATAGTAGGATTGACGGGACCCATTGATGCGATAAGGCAGGTGGCACATGAGTACCGTGTTTTTTTTAAGCGGGTGGGAGAAGATAATCAAGATTACCTTGTTGAATCTTCACACAACCTGTAAGTGCTTATTTATCTATGCATCGTGCAGCAAGTGTGTGTGTTTGTTTGTGTGCAGCAAGTGTGTATGTGTGAGAGAGAGAGAGAGAGAGAGAGAGAGAGAGAGAGCAACTTTGCTTGATCCCTAAACTAGCTTGGTGGCTACGATGATATTAGAAGAGTGGGCTTTTTTCTTTTTGCCAATGATTAATGTATAATTTCTTGGACAGGTACCTGATGGACCCAAACATGGAACCTGTGAAATTATTTGGGGTGGAATACGATGCTGAGCAGTTATGTTATGATATACTACAAGGGATCAAGAGTGTCTCCGGGTAAAGCACTTGCAATTTTGTTTAATGAACTAGGTTCATCCATTTCATTGGTCAGTGTGATGTGTTCACTATTCAGTAGATGAAAGTCAAAGATCCATATTGGGGTTATGGAAAGGCTTATTGGTGATAAAAAATTAGTAATCTCTCTCTAAACTTTGATAATATGGTTGCTTACTGTGTGGCTGATTGCACTGATAGGAAAGATTAGGGGGATGTGGATACCCTAAAATATTAGAAAAGGAGGGTTGAAATGTGGGTTTGGTGTGTAGATCATGTGCGAAATGAGGCCATGCATCGATTCGCTCTCAGAAATGGGCTCACTTTTGGTGAGAAAGTAGGGGGGTTGTGGTGATTTATTTGCATGGCCCAATGCCAAGCTTTAAAGCAGGGGCTGTGTAATCCAAGGATGCACGTAGGGTTTGCCTTGCCGCCCCAGCAAACTCCATCTCTTTGCCACCTTCGCCAATTGGTTGGTCAAAAACACTTTTGCTTTGCGCACCATCTTTCCCTCACTACAAGTACTGTATACGCCACACACACAAAGAGAGTATGCATTCAACATACTTTATGCATTCATTATGCTTTTGCAGATAGAGAAGAGAGATGGCTTCCCAGTCTTTAATGGAGACAGGAAGTTTGGAATATCAGGGATGCCTAATTTGCTTATATAAGTGTTTAAAAAAGGAATGAACCGGACGGAACCAGCTGGTTCACATTGGTAAATGATGGGACCGGTTTGGTTTTGCTGAAATATTAGGTACCTGTTAGTTCTTGTTGGGAACCGGTTGGTTCTCTTTTTCCACCTGTCTTTTTTAATATTCTCTCAATAATTCTTTTTAATTTTTTATTGGTCGATACACTCGGCCGGATTTCCATTCTGAACCTGTTTTTTGGATGGGCGATTTGGGTCGTGGATGTATTTTTAGACCTTGGTTTAGATAGTGAGGACAAATCTGCTTTTACTTTTGATAGAGAATTATCCGAATAAACCAAAATTTCCTGGACTCTTCAGCATATCTCAATATAGGAAAGGGCGGATCCATGCATCTCTTTCTCTCTCTCTCTCACTCAGTGGATAGTAGCCCATCTCTGTTTAGGTTGTTAGGAGTCGGATCATGGGCCGTTGCATCATGGAACGGATTTTCACTTGAGAAAACGACTTAGGGTTAATTTTATCATATTGAAAATTTTCATTTCAGTTCTCCTCATGGTGTTTCATTCATCAATAAATATTTGTCAGGCATTTATCAATTTTTTTATATGAAGGCACCTCTTTTGTCTTCGACTAAAAAAGCAAAAAATGTCACACGTCTCCTTTGGCTCGGCTTGCATATGCCCACGTGGATGGAATTTCCTTTGACTTTCAAAACTGAATATGAGAAAACCTTGTTATCTTGTTAAGTTGGTCTTCATCTAAATGGATCAAAACGAACGGATAATCACGGTAACTCAATAAAATATGCGACATTTAAATCTTAAAAAATTTAAGAAATTGAAGGTGGGTGTGGTTTTGCATAAGGTCGTAACCTTAATCAAAATAAGGTATATTTTTAAATTTTGTTACAATATGTAATTTTGGTTTAAAATTTTTAGAATGGCCAAAAAATATATTTTAATATCTAATTATAAAATTTTAAATTCTAAAAATATTTTAAATCAAGTACATCTATAAACACATGAAAATAGACGGTTCAAATAATATTTTACAAAATGTACTATTTTAGGTATTTCAAATCCTTTTTCTTCTATATTTGTATATCTTTATTTCAACTTAAACTCTTTTTCTCTTCTATATACGTATATCTTAATTTTGAAATAATCAATTAAATAATTTTTCTAATACCATTTAAAATGTCAACCTTCCATAATTTTTTTCGTAAAAGATCCTCTTGAGAGAGAGAGGGAGAGACGGTAGGGGACCAAGAAAGGTCATGTAGTTAGGACTTGGGACTTTGGCTCGGTTGTTTAGCGTCCAAGGGTTGACACCGATGTCTGAATACTAAGGACCACTATATTAACATCCGAGGGTTGAAATTCATCCGATATTGTAAGAAAATGACGAGTAAAGGGCAAAATTCATCGACGGGTAGGTACGGTTACCCAGTATGCACAGCATAGAGAGATGCACAAAAAACTGAATGTTTTAGAGAGAGGGAGGGATGTGGGAAGCGAGCAACGGAACCCACCAATGGGTGTCGAAAAGGGTGGAAAGGGTCGAACGACTTTAAACAAGGAGCAGCGAAACCGGGTTCCCACTCCCTTGCATTAAGAGAGAAAAATAGAGAGAGAGAAGGGGGGTTCTCTCTTTGACTCCATTTACTATCAAAACCTAGCCTAAGATTAGGGTTTGTTATTTCACCCTATGATCGACTCTTTCTCTGGACCATCTACTTATTTTTATTTAAAATTTAAATTGTCTTATAATTTTCTTTTTCATTCGTGGGACCTTAAAATTCTATTATAAAAAGACTGTATATTATGAGGCTATTTATTTTTAGTACAAAAAAATCACAATAAATTTTAGTTATTGAATATGAAATCTAATAATGAAAGTACACCATTTGAGAATCTTTATTTGGGATTTTGTGTCTAAATAATGATACATCTTTAATCACATAATTTTAAATTTGATAATATTGTGATCTCTTTTTATAAAAAATAAATTGTTTTGTTATATTCATTTTTCATTTATAAACAATAATTTCGACCTTCATATACAAAAAGATAAATGATAACAAATCCCTTATAAAAATGACAGTGGTAAAAGATAAATGATAACAAATCTCTTATAAAAATGATAGCGGTGTGCCGTTGTAAAATTTCTATAAACCAATGCGATATAAGCTTTCTTAAAATTAAAATCATATGGATGTTATTAGGATTTGAAATTTGCCACTGTGGCAAAGGAGGGGTGTTGATGGGTCATTTTAGATATATTTAGGCGCATTTTGGTCCACTATTGGAAAAACAAATCCCCAAGCGAGGAGTAAGGGTCGGGCCCGAGCCAGCTAGCGCCTGACGTGAGTCACTCTCATTCCTACGTGCCCACCTCATATGGCCCCTCCCCTCCCTAGCTAGCAGAGAGAAAGTAGGGGTTGGAGCTATGTTACATTTCCTTGGCAGGCAGTCCAGGTCCAGGAGCCCCTTAAAACTCGATCAAATTTTACTGTAACGACGTACTCACTTCTCTCTTGGAGGCGCCTTGCCACTACCACCAGAATCCTTGGCCCAATTCCCAAGCTACGTCTCAAAAAATGCTCAATACACCATCCTCTTTCTCACAATGAAGGCTCAGATGACAACGGCCAAGAGCTACGAGCATGATGCCAAGTGCCACAACTGCGGCATTCTGGTTCTCTACGGGTTTGGCCGCAGGAAGCTCTGGCCTCGACAAAGCTCGTCCACCGGCTCCAAGGACACCAGGGGTCAAATGGGAATATCGATTTCGAGACGAAGACGAAGAGGTTCGACGAGACCTCATTTCTCGGCTCTGATGATCCCCCGTCTCTCGTCGTTGCTTCAAAACCCAAGAGCTAGCTCGTGATCCAAGATATGACCCCACCTCAGAAGCCAATCAAAGCAATGGTGACCACCCGGAATCGTGTGGTTTCTGAAAATGCCCTTGGCCATAAATCATCGGATGGGAGCAGTTGCGGCTCTTCAGGCTCCTGCAACCTGGCCGCAACTCGCCCCAACAATTCCCGCCTGAAGGGTGGCTTTGCGACCACTGAAACCGACGACGGCGAGATGCCGTGCCCGATTACTACCACAACCGACAGAACAGCTCTATGCTCGTGAGAGCATCGAGCAGCAACATGATGGTCTTCAGCTACTTGGGCAACATAAGGCAAGCGCAACCCCAAAATTTTCAAGCAATCGAATACACGAAACCAAAACCACAGCACCAACAACAACAGAGACCTTCGAAATATGGCTACGGGAGCGTAGTGAGAGGGGGTGGAGCACCGCCACTTGAATTCAGCGGAAAGGGTGGAGGCGATCCTGAGGAGTTGAAGAATATGGGGAACAAGGAGTACAAGAAGGGTAGGTTTGCAGAGGCATTGGTGCTTTACGAGACGGCGATAGCGTTGGACCCCGATCGCTCATCGTATAGGAGCAACAAGGGCGCGGCGCTGATGGGGCTGGGTCGATTGCTGGAGGCCGTGGACGAGTGTCGTGAGGCCGTGAGGCTGGATCCCTCCTATGCGAGGGCCCATCATAGGCTGGCCACTCGCTAGCTCAGGTATTTTAATGTTGTTTGCTTGCTGCTTTGATTTTGATGGATAGGTGCCTCTCCTTTTGTGTTTCGTTTTGTTTAGGACTTGGCCAAAACTTCCATCTGTTTCTTTGACGGTTGGATGCTTTGGTGGGGTATTGTGGGACATTATGGATTTATGGGTAAAAGTATGGGAGACTTCATTTGTATATTTTGTTTAGAGCAAAATTCATATAAATATCAAGAGTGATGAACTATTTAAAATTTGGAAAAAGTTTATTCAAGGTCCACTTCAAAAATCCACCTAAAAAGGTTGGTTCTGACTTAAAAAAAAAAAAGAGCCTTTGAATTGATTATCTCGACCTCGAGAGATGTATGTGTAGATACGAAAGAAAAATTAATTTCAAACTATACAAATAGTGTATCTTATAACATATTATCTAAACAATTATTTTTTTAAGATTTTTAAGTATACATAGATGTTTTTAATTTGGGTTGGATCTTTAAATTTCATAATTAGATATCAAAATAGATTTTTTGCCCGAATGGCACCAGAACAACCTTTTTAGGTACACTTCTTGGGTGCACCTTACTGTACTACAAAGTTGACGCCGTTAACACCTTATACAAACCACACTTTTAAAACTTTATTCACGTAACCTTATTTTATTTTAGAATACGTATCAAAATCCACGTTCTCATGAGTTGAAAGACTTGCAAATGGGTAGAATGTTATAGTTCATCCTTGTAGGTGTTTTTGATAAATTTCTCTTGTTTATATTTAACGGGGAGATTAGAAATCAGAAAACTCGCGAATTCCAAGCTTCAGGAATTTTTAGGTGTGGAATTTGAGTAGTTCTTATATCGAATAACTATCTCACAAATTTGAGTTCCCAAGTTTACACAAATTATTTTTATTTTTATTTTTATTTTTTGGTGTACCCTTAAAAAAAAAAAGAATTATGTTACTTTTAGGCTGGAGTAGCAGAGAAGGCCATGGCTCACTATAAACAATCAGTGAGTGAAGCGAATGCAGGAGAATTAGGGCAAGCTCAGGCCTTCCAAACTCACCTATCAAAGTGCACAGAAGCCAGAAAGCTCAAAGATTGGCATACTCTGCTCAAAGAGGCCAGCTCCGCCATCGCAACCGGGGCCGATGCCGCTCCACAGGTCCATAAACAAAAATACACCTAACACAACTACTGTATGATATGATTTATAGTCCATTATATTGGTGTTTAATGTAGCCCAGCTTAATATAAACAGAGCAAAGTAGTGTCTAACTGTAGATATTACAGCGAAAATTGATGTATAGTATAGTTGATATGAAAATGCTTAATAGAACAGAGCATGGGATGCTTTGATAGTTCTTATATGATAATACTTTTTGTATGTTTATTAGGTGTTTGCTTCTCAAGCGGAGGCGTTGTTGAGGTTGCATAAGGTGCAAGAGGCTGAGGCCGCAATGAGCGGAGCGCCAGAGTTTGAGGTGGATGCGTGCACCAAGTTTTTGGGGCCGCAACCAACGCCTATGTTTTGCTTGTAAAGGCGCAGGTTGATATGGCAGCTGGAAGGTTCGTTTGGCTTCCCTCTGTTTCTTTTTTCTAAATATGGTGGAAATGACTTGAAGAATTCCTTGGGCAGTTTTTAGGATTTTGGAGCATTTAAATAAGGCTTAGGTTTTATGGAAAAAAATAAAGCCTCACTTTAAAAATTCAACAAATATTTTAGTTTTGGCTTAAGAAACTTTTGAATCTATAATCTCGACCTTGACCATTATTGTTGTGAAAAAAATTCGGATTTCAATCCTTAAAAATAGTATGGACGGACACTGTTGGCAGGTGGCCGCGCCTGCACATGTAGAAATGCAGCTTTGACAATAAATATATTTATGAAATATAATTTGATCCTAATTTTTAGAGAATACATAATTGTTAACATGGAGATCATGAATATGAAAAAATAAATATATTTTAAAAATTAAAAATAATAATTATATGTAAAAAATATTTGGACCATTAGTTGTCATTGTTTTTAAATGGATCACTTATTTGCATCTTAAAGACGAATACTTTATACCTCAGACCACATATTGTACAAATGTGGTCCATTTCGCATGAATCAATTGTTCAAATAGTATATACCGTAATGCATGATCAAGACCATCCATTCTCAAGTAGTCAGGGATCTGTAAGATTTGTACTCTTTTTTTACCTACAATTCGTATAATTGGTAATAAATTTATTTTTATTTTATTTTTCCAGAAACTACAACCATGTTTTCACCCTTGAACTACCCTTCCTTTTTTAATGACCCGCTCTCCATGCTTTCAATCAATTTCCCACTTTACCCCGAGAGGGTAAACAACTTTTACCACCCTTGTCTTTTACGATAAGACTGTGCACTGCATAATGTCTAGATGCGAGTATAGAGAACGTGAACTTCAGAAACTATTATTTAAACGGAAAAGTTCATATAAAGCTGAGGCTCTAAACAATCACATTCGAGCCTCCCTCAAAAATTTCACTAGACGAGATTATTTTGATGCTCAAAAATCTTCAAATCGATTATCTCGACATCAAGATGTATGGACGTGAGAAAAAAATTGATTTCAAGTTTTGGAAATAATGTATTTTATAATGTATTTTTGACCGTCAATTTTCAAGATTTTCCAGTTTTCATAGATCTGTTGATCTACAATATTTTTTAAGCTTTAAACTTTATAAATAAATATGAAAGTAAGATTTCCAGTGTTGGAATCACATTTCTCGATACAATTTAAAGGTAGGCTCTAATTTGATTGTTTAGAGCTCTATACAAACCACACCCTTATTGAAATGACACATCTAAAAATTATGTGCAATTTATATATGCATTTAAATATGGGATTGTATACAATAAAATCATTTACCATTGAAATAAGGAGGTTACAATTACTTAACAACTATGCGAAATTTGATAGTTTCGGAGTGTCACAAAGTTCGAAAAAATTATTTTTGACTTTAAGTTTGATCAATGAAATAAATGTAACCACTCAATTTCACATCCAATGGTCAAGATTTATTGTGATCATATTGTACCAAAGGTAAATGGTCTCATTATATACTTTCCTTTTAAATATATTGCGATTCATATGTGATATTAATTAGAGCATCGTTTCTAAGAAAAAATAATAATATTAGAGCATCATAAAATAATTATAAAAAAGCATCAGAAAAAAAGTTAAATTAATAAAAAATTGATTTTATTTATTAAAAGTTTATGGTAGTCCAAGCGAAGGTTTCATCAAGAAAAAAGCTAAAAACTGTTAGGTTGATATTAGGTCGACACACGGTCCTCTCTCTCACCCCACCACAAAAAAAAGAAGCAAACCAAGAAAAAAAAAAAAACAAGAAGAACACATGATCCTCTTATTCGTGGTCGTGTATGGTGTAATGAGTGGCAATCAAATATTGTTGTGGTGTTCAGCGAGGGGTTATGCTTCAATCAAAATCATTCCAACCTATTGGATCGGATTATAAAATTACCCAATTTTGTTTAAGCCCGTAGAATTGCTCAAAACCAATTGGTCGAACCCTTTAAAACGTTATTTAACATTAATTTTTATGCTCCAATCAAAATCATTCCAACCTATTGGATCAGATTATAAAGTCACCCAATTTTGTTTAAGCAGGTAGAATTGCTCAAAACTAATTGATCAGACCCGTATTTTTTACTTTTGGACTGTAGATGCCACAAGGAACCTTCTAGTAGTCTGACCAGTCAAACCAGCCAGTCTGGTCTTGTTTTGATTACTACTTTCTAGAGCCCTATAAAGTGGCCAATTATAGAAAGAACAATTTATTTCTACTACTATACACATAAACGTTCTGAGACCATTTTATTTTCAAATTTTGTGGGCAAAAAATATTAGACGTAAACAAAATCAAAGTAAATTTGCAGATTTGATAATGCCGTTAGTGCGGCCCAAAGAGCAGGCATATTGGATCGAAGCAACATGGGGATTGGGGCAGTGGTGAGGAAGGCAAGAGCAGTGTCTTCAGCTCGCTCCAATGGCAATGACCTCTTTAAAGCTTCTAGGTTTAGTGAAGCGTGTTTGGCCCATGGAGATGGCCTCCAAAGTGACCCACTCAATACCATCTTACTTTGCAATCGCGCTGCCTGTCGGTCGAAGATGGGACAGTGGGAAAGAGCCATCGAAGATTGCACCGCCGCCCTCAATATCCGCCCTTCATGCACCAAGGCTCGCCTCCTAAGGGCTGACGGCAATGCCAAGGTATCACCAAAAAAGCATGACCAAAAGGGTTGGCCTATAATGCAAGCAGTTAAGTTTCCTCCAGTTGCTTGGCATCAATCCAGCCATCAGATGTCATCTTTGGCTGTCTAGGATGCCATTCATCTGCTCAAAATTGTAATTCTTTGAGTGGTCACATGGCTGAGATTGATGGAAAATAACTATGAGAAACTTAAGTGCACTTTACAATTTTTCTCTAAACATAGCAACTGTTTTTGGGGAAGTTCACTAGAATCTGTGATCTTCAAAAACATGAATTTAAAAATTTCCAGCCCGACTTGGAATTGCCCGAAAGGTTGACAATTCAGGATTGAGGAACCTTGGAATTGCCTAGTTTTCCTGCTTTTTAAGTTTTTACTTGTTTGTTATCTCTAGATCCATTCAACTTGGAAATCACATGAGTTGGCTGATGGAATTGGAATTGATGTCAGGCCATCCAGGATTTGAGTTTTGGGGAAATTACTAAAAACCCCATTCACTCAACTTTCTTAACATCCTCCTCTTAATAACTTTTTAGAACATTAGAAAAACCAAAATATATCCTTTTGCACTTACCTTTAGTCAAAATGTCAAAAATTGATGATTACAGTACCCCTCGGCTTTTATACTGCTTTCTGTTGCGTAGGGAAGCTATAAACCCGATGGTTGATTTTTGACAAATAAAATACGAGACATAAAATGAAACACATACTACATTGTGAACATAAAGATTTACGTGATTCACCTAAAAGGGTTACATCTACGGGCCCGATAAATTGAAATCTATTATACCAATCAAAGTTACATCAAAGATTTTGGAACAAACATCGACAAAACCGAGTTAAGCAAACTTTTTTACACTTGCTCTCCCTAAACGGCATCACTGCCGCTAAACGGCATCACTGCCGATATCTCATCTCTATTTCGTAACTAGACCACTCTCTAAGAAGAGAACTTTGAGAGCAACTGAGACTTTCTCTCATTAAAAAAAAAACAACCCAAAATCTTTATGGGAAGCGTTTCTCTACAAGAAACAAACATCTTAATCTTTGGGAGTCTAAAAGAGGCATCATCACATTGTTTCTCTCCATAAGAAGCTCTCTTCTGTAAGAAGAAATTAAATCTTGTGCATAAGAGGCTTTGCCCCTTATCTCTAGAGGAAATTCCCATATGGGGACCCAACTAAAGTATACAAATTTTCTGCACTTTCATCATATATATATAAGATTAAGATTAAGAAACCATACTAAATAAGAAATTTCATATTGATTTTACATGTATCTCAAAAGACCAAGAGATATATCCAATAGTTCTAATCTTTTTTGGATTTCTATTTCTTTTAGGAAACTTATCAAATATCAATATCAATATCGTATAATAAGGAAATATCTCAATCCTACGTAATATGAGATTTCTTTATGTGGGTGATTTTGGATAGCACTAAATTCAACACTTTCATAATACCTGTTTGGCACAAAACACTGATGGACCGGTTTCAAGCGATGGTGCCGGACTGGCACTATGAAATGTCCAACATATTTTTTGTGTCGGTGAGACACTTTTTTTTGTGCCAAATCGGACTCATTTTTCGGTCCAATTGCTGAACCGACACTATAAAATCAATATGCTGCAACAGTCCAACACTTTTCTTGTGTCAGTTCAACACTTTTTTTTTTGCCGGACCACCATGGATTCGGTTTTTGGTTCGGTACCAAAAAAAAAGAAAAAAGGGTGTTATAAAACTGGGGCAAATTGGGGTATTTTGATCCAAAAAAGGTATTTTTTTTTAATTGGAGGAGTAGTTTCGAAAGAAAATAGTACTGAGTATTTTTAGTGTCTTGATTTCAATTGGTCACGAGGTTTACAATATACTTTCTCATCACATTAATATGCATTAGGGACCTACACCACAAAATGTAGCTCAAGAGCCAAGTTGGGCCAAGACACGGACAACACGATCGAGCCCCAGACCGACTATTTGTTCCTTGTATTTTTTTATGTTTTCATTTTTTTATATTTGGCCTTGCTCAGCCTGCTCTGATAGAGTAGGGCCGGGTTGGTCCCAGCCCAGGGCCTATTTGGCTATGTCTGGGCTTGGTTGGGCATATGCTGGCACTATGGGGATCAAGACCAGGGCTAGCCCAACCCAGGTCAGGTTTGGTTCGTTCCCAACCCTTATTTGCAACATTTGTATATATTATAAAAATACAAGATAAAATTTATCTTTTCTTTGCTCTAGACCCATACCCAACCCAACTCGGCTGTGTATCTTGATCCAATAACCTAGGCCCTTTTGATTCCGGGACTAGTTGAGACCCAGCTGGGTTGGGGCCCTGATTGGTGTTGACTTGGATCCGATTAACAACCATGACCAGAAGAATACTACTAAGCTTATTTCTTAAATAGAGCTATTTAAGGAGGATTCTACCTACTGCTTTACTCTTTTCTTTGTAAATCTGTAATAGGGCCGGCTTGAGCTTTGACATGGCCAAAGAGGTCATGGTCCAGGCCGGGCCCTGGCCCTGTCAATGCGAGGTTGAACCAAATACAATAAAAAAAAAAGCGAAAGGGTTGGGCCTCACCCCGCCAAAGCCCGGCCATTAGGCGGTGGTGGCCCTTCCTTAGGGCGACATTTTGTAGCCCAGGTCCTAAGATTTCAGGGCCCAGCTGCCAGGCCCATTGCCCGCTATAGTGAAAGAAGAAGAATATTTGGATGAATGTAGCATATATCTCGACTGCACTCACATGGTTGTCTTGTGTTATTTGGCGACAGTTGGAGAGGTGGGAAGCATCAATACAAGACTAGAGATATTAAACGTAGAATGTCCAGGAGATACGGAGGTGGAGAAAGCCTTGTTGGAGGTTAAACAACAACTCAAGAAATGCCGAGGTGAAGATGTGAAGGAGAACATCTCCAATGTTGTCCTCATCACCAATGGCGATCGCTCAAGGCAATACGTTACGGGTCCTTGTAAGCAAACAAAACTTGAAAATTAGGGTAACACAAAAGAAAAAAATTAAAAATTTTCGCAAATAGAGACATCAAATTGAATATCATTTACCTAGAAAAATCTCTCTTACCCCGAATAAAGATCACCCCAAATTGTTAGGACGAACATAGTAAGTTAAAAAATAATAGAATAGGATCCATATAATCATCCAGTAATCTCAAATAAAGGACGAACTCTAACTGAATAAGAGAAACATAGTGTGATGAACATGACAACATGGTTTGTCACCATCTAAACCATCTGATAAAATGGGTTGGACAGTGATGGAGGGGCAGTGGCACACATGGATGAATTAATGACATGTTTGGTGAGTAGCCTCTACGGTCGAATGGATAATATTACACAGATATACTATAAAAAAATGTTGTTTCGAAGTCTGTGTCATATGTCATGGGTATACAATCGCACATTTTTTTCAAATAGTTTAGGAGTTAGTTTTTTTATAGTGTCAGTAAGAATGAAAACTACAACTTGGTGATTAGGGGGTGGTGAGGGTGCTGCCACGACGACTCTAACCCTTTTCCCATCAACCAGATGGGTTGAATGCCATCGAACAGATGGGTTGAATGGTGAAAGAGGAGTGTAGGACCACCAAACACGTCACTAATTGAATTGTCATGTCTACTGACCCTTATTCACCGACCAACCCATTGATTGGATGGCTATAAGTTTCAATGTAATTTCTGTTACTACAATTTATATTTTTCCTTACTTATTCGATGTGAACTTTACAGGGATGTATGTAGTTTTGTTATGTACAAATTCAAATGAAACAACCAGCAACTCCTTCCCTTCATCAAGCAACTATGCAAGAAATACTCTTCTGTCAATTTCCTTAAGGTTTGTTATTCTATGGTTTCTGATGATCTCTCCCTCTCAATCTCTCTCGTGCATCTGTATTTGTGTGAAAGCAATGTTCAAAAAATCGAATTGGCCTTGAAAAACGTCCAAGGGCTGGGTTTGAGTAACTAGTAAATCGGCCGGTTCAACTGGCCTAATCGCGCACTGTCCAAAATGTGTCTAAAAAATAAAACAAACATGAAAAATATATTTAAAAAATGATTAAACAAAGCACATCCAAATGTAGTTGAAAAGCAGTGAAAAAAATGGATTTTAAAAAATCGATTTGTATGTATTGGCCTCCATGTACAAAAGAGATGGTCTCTTTGTAGACGATCTTTTTTTAAAAAAGTAGGCTTTCTATGTGACCACATTCACATCTACCGTCAAATATGAGTACATGGCTGAGATGGCTTGAGTCACAATATCACAAGCTAGCTCTTAACCATCAGATCTTGATCAAATAGTTCATAGTTA